GGGCGGTGGCGCGGGGCGAGGCGCTGACCCTGCTGCTAGTTGGGGACAGCCGGGTGGGAAAGGTTCAGGGACGGGAGCGGAGGGAGCTGGTTCCCAGGGAGTGGGCAGGGGCTGTGGGGTGCGACCGACCCGCTCGTCCTGTGCCTTTACCCGCATCTTCATGCCGAGGTTCCCCATGACCCTGCAGCTGGTGAAAGCAACTTAACATTTCTTACAGATACTGGCCTATTGCAACCCGGGTCCCTGCCAGATCTTTCAATAGCTCCCTGCTGGGCTCTGGGGCCCTACTCAAAAGCCCACAATAGGTGAGTTGCTATGAGCTTCCCAGGCTTGGCCCGCACTTCCTGGGGGTCCCTTAGCACTAGGGCAGCCTGCCAGCCCTACAGCATCACACCACCTGCCCAATGCCCCTGGGTTCAGGGATCTGGATTTGGCAGAGGGCGGAGATTTACTACTAGTTGTTACAAACCCACCACAGTCTGTTTTTGCTCCTGCCTTTTCTCCAATGTCCTCCGGAGCGAGACGGGTGTTGGTGACCTCCATAGCGACTCAAGGCAGAGACTAGCGAAGCTGCTCTCACTGACAGCACTGCCCTCCTCTTGGTGTTGAGTTGAAAGTTAACAAAATGGGGGTTGATAGCCAGCGAGTGCAACTGACAGGATGGGTACGTTTTGCCCAGGGCGGACAATGAGCCTCCAAAGCCTCTTCCCATGATGCTGTAGTTTACAACAGTTGTGTTCAGCGAATGGGTGTGCCACCGATCTCTGCCTGCCCAGAATAATGAGTATCCAAGTGCCATGGCTCTGCTACTGTAGAATCGTGTGACGCGCGCAAAGCTCCTTTTTTGAGCAGCTTGTAACATTTCCTCATTTCATGGGGGTTTATTTCAGCACCAGCACAAATTGCAAGGGCTTGCGCCTGACGCTACTTATGCTGCTGGGCAAGTGATGGGGCGGGGAATAGGCGCCTGAATAAGACAAGGCCCAGAATACCAGGATTGTCCCTATAAAATTGGCAGCAGACAATGTCCCTTTCTCTTGTCAGTGTATGATGGCACAAGAAAAGACACTCGTACCCTGGCTGAATGACCCGGCAACGTACATGATGCAGAGCAACTTGGAGAAAAATGTTAGTTGTCAATAAAATCGACATGGTCCCTTTAGAGCTGTATCAATTTCTGCTCATGCACTAGGTTGGTTCATGCCAGTAGGCGTTTCCTGTGCAGCAGGGGACTCATCGCCCCACATGCAGCAAACCTGGTCCATGCCGCTTTGACTGAAAAACCTGAATGGTGCTGCCTGCTTTCCTCACTGCCTCCGCTTAGAGGTAGCAGGTTGTTTGGGAAAGTTGTGCAGAGTGCCCCAGGCCATGTCTACACCAGGAAACTATTTCAAAATTAGAAAATTCGATTTAATAACCCCTGATTTAACAAATTCGAACTAGCGGGTACGTCTAGACTACATGGCTCCGTTGATGGAGCCATGTAAAATAGTTTACTCGGTATAGTCAAAGAAGCGGGGATTTAAATAATCCCCGCTTCATTAAAATAAAAATGGCTGTTGCGCTGTGCCAATGATCAGCTGATCTGGCACAGCGCAGCAGTCCAGACGTGATGCGGTTGACAAGGGAAGCCTCTGTCGACCGCTCCGGTATGCCTCGTGACACCCCACCTTCCCCATGCACACCAGAGCCTGGGCGATCAGGCTATTAGTAGTTGTTGTGGGTCCCCCTCTGCTCGGGTTGGGCCAAATATGAGGAGTTTAGTGTGGGGGAGGGGGTTGCAGGGAACTGGGCTTGGGGTGTGTGGTTTTAGTAGGAGGCAGGATGCAGGAGTGGGTTAGGGGTTGGAGAGGCCGGGAGGGTGGTATGGTGCAGAAGCAGACTGGGCAGTGGGAAGGCTGGACGGGAGGTAGGGTACTGGAGCAGAATGGGGGAGCAGAGTCTGGGCAAGAGGGGGGCTGCAAGGCTGGAGTGCCAACTTTCCAATGCTGGGTGGGAGCCCCGAGTCTTGGGGGCCAAATCCAGACAAGCCAGGGGCCGAATCCGGCTCCTGGACTTTAGATTACCCACTCCTCCTCTACTGGATCCAGGGGTTTTTCCATGGTCATACATTGCTCAGCATCAATACAGTTATGATCTTTTTAAACCAGTGTTGCAGTGGTTGCAAAACCTTATGGACCCACTCAGACATTTATGAGCACTATAAAGACTTGTGAATTTGCAGCAACAATAGAGGGAAGGGCAAATCAAAGAAATGAGTCTTGCACTTAGTTCCTAAACATAAGTGGGGTGAGGTAACAGACATACATACCCACAATACTACTTGGAAACATTTTAAGCGCTACAGGTTTAGACCCCCCCTTGGAGCATTTGGGTGTGTGTGAGCAATTTTTATTAAGAAATATTTATCTGCAGTGAGAAGCTGCTTGCTGATTGGTTAATGTCACCAAAGTGATTAATTATGCTTACAATTACTTTCTCCTAAGCAAAGGCTGGCCGCTGATGTCATAAGCGGCGTATCTATGGCAACTTTCAGTGGTACAATTCATTTTACACTAGGGCTTTACCTACTTATTGGTACCTGGGATGAGCACAGCAAAGATGAGTAGCTTAGAGTACTTAGCCTACCCGGTAATTGTTGCCAATCACAGGCAGAGTACCACCTTGAAGAAAAAACTGGACATTCATGACTACCTGTCTCACAAGAGCAAACTCGAAGTTGGTATGTTTTCTTATGTATTTCTCCTCCATGTTTCTGAAGTCAACTGTGAACAGGTTTGAAAACCTGAATGGGACATGTTTTCCTGAAGGACAGCTAGCCATAGAGCTCAGAAACTGTAAATTATATACACCAGAAAAATGGAAATTTCCATCAGAATTCTGTATAAGTAGAAGGCTTAAGGAAATCCTGCTGGGAAAGCCATGTGCTTTCTCTTTTCAAGATAAGACCAACACATGTTTTAAGATGATATACACTCCTGTTAGTTTGTAGTTTCTATGATGAAAGCCAAAGTGGAGTAGCGTGCATTGGAAACTTTCTCAGAACTTCATAGTATTCCATATAGATTTATACCCAAACATGTTAAGCTCTGTTACAGGCTGGGGACCGAATGGCTGAGCAGCAGTTCAGCAGAAAAGGACCTGGGGATAACAGTAGATGAGAAGCTGGATGGGAGTCAACAGTGTGCCCTTGTAGCCAAAAAGGCAAATGGCATATTAGGGTGCATTAGGAGGAGCGTTTTCAAGCAGATCTAGGGAAGTGATTATTCCCCTTTATTTGGCACTGGTGACGCCATATCTGGAGTATTGCATCCAGTTCTGGGCCCCCCACTACAGAAAGGATGTAGATGCATTGGAGAGGGTCTAGCAGAGGGCAACCAAAATGATGAGGGGGCTGGAGCACATGACTTATGAGGAGAGGGGGGGGGATTTGGGCTTATTTAGTCTGCAGAAGAGAAGAGTGAGGGGGGATTTGAGAGCGGCCTTCAACTACCTGAAAGGGGGTTCCAGAGAAGATGGAGAGAGGCTGTTCTCAAAGGTGACGGGTGGCAGAATAAGGAGCAATGGTCTGAAGTTGCAGTGAGGGAGGTCTAGATTGGATATTAGGAAAAACTATTTCCCTAGGAGGGTGGGGAAGCACTGGGATGGGTTCCCTAGGCAGATGGGGGAATCTCCATCCCTAGAAGTTTTTAAGTCCTGGCTTGACAAAGCCCTGGCTGGGATGATTGAGTTGGGGTCTGTCCTGCTTCAGGCAGGGGGCTGGACTTGAAGACTCCTGAGGTCTCTTCTAGCCCGACGAGTCTAGGATTCTAGGATTTGTTTTGATTCCGGAGAATATGCAGCATCAAAAAACCTTTTACAGCTTATTTGAGATGAGTTGGCAACTAGATAGACTTGTTAGTAAGAATACCTTACGCCTGTGTTTCTCAACCTGTGGGTCCTGGCCCCCCGGGGGGTGGCGAGTAACTTAGAGGGGGGTTGCAGCAACTTAAAGAGGGGCTGCAAGCAACTTAGAGGGCGGTCACGGTATCACACAGTTTGAGAACCCCTGCCTTGCATATATAATGAAACATTTTGTATCTGACTTGCAAGCTCTTAAGAAAAATTATTAGGACCAGACCCACTGACAGGGAGAGAGCAAAGAGGGCAGTTGTCCTGGGGCCTGGTGATTTTAAAGGGCTGGGGACTATGGGCTACTGCTACTACAGAGTCCAATGTTCTTTAAATTGATGCCGGAGCCCTACGGTGAATTGCTGATAGCTCCACCCCTTCTGCTCAACATGTTGCCTCTTCTGTGTGGCCCGGAGCTGAGGTCCCTCCCCACATATTGTCCAGGGCCTGGTGAAACCTGTTGCCAGCCCTGATGAGGACAGCTGGATTTTTGCATTACTTGGACGTTAAAGTTCTTTAATTTCTGTTGATTCAGATTCACAGATAAAACGAAAAGATTACAAAGATGAGGTGCTCCTAATACTTAATGAATGATGAGATTCAGAATGGCCCGGAGCTGAGGTCCCTCCCCACATATTGTCCAGGGCCTGGTGAAACCTGTTGCCAGCCCTGATGAGGACAGCTGGATTTTTGCATTACTTGGACGTTAAAGTTCTTTAATTTCTGTTGATTCAGATTCACAGATAAAACGAAAAGATTACAAAGATGAGGTGCTCCTAATACTTAATGAATGATGAGATTCAGAAGGTTTGCAAATGTAGTTCTCATAATCCTCAAAGTTTCATTGCTCAGCAGACTGCCTTTCGTCTGCAAATTGCACTAGAAGTCTCAAATTTCATCTGGGCCGTAAACCAGGAAATGCAGCAGTCTGAGAAAAAAAAAAGCATTTGAGATATTTACCTGATTGAACAGGTTGCAAAATGCTACCAGTGTCCCCAGATTCCTCAGCACGGCAAAAGAGACATTTTTCCTTAAAAAATTCAAAATGCAGCAGGGAAGATTCTGCAAAGTGGAACCAGGAAGCGTCAGCCAGTTGTAAATGGTATCAGATAGGTCCAAAGGTCATATCTTAGACTATAAAGCCCAGGGATGGGTTCACTGAGTCAGGTACAATTGGAACAGGTCTGACTAGTCACCCAAATGAGTTGAAATGTCGAGAGACGTTTTATTGAGGTCCAAAGTTCTTTGGATAACATTTTTCCTCGTTGTTTTGATTTGTTATTTTTCCTTTGCTTTTCTGGGCCTCTCTTGAGTTGAAAGTGCCTAGGGATAAGAAGAGGCCAACTGGAGCTTTGAAAGAATTCCAGTGCAGACACATGCTTCTGTACCTAACCCCTGAGCCATGTAGGTAGTTATCCTGCCATGAATTTAGGCAAAACATAACTTGTTTGCCGTGCAACATAGTCTCCATACCACTTGGACCCTGCATTGGCCAAAAAGAATTATCAATGTGCCCTGCTTTGCACCTAGTAGAAGTTATTTGATTATTTGGAGGATCAATCAATTCTTGATTTCGTCGTAAAGCATAACACAGTATCTGGTCCAAGACATGGATATAGCTGAACTGTTTCATAATAGTGAGGATGAGACAATTAAATTTAACATCCTTGTGGTAGTGGTAGTAGGGGGCAGCAACGAGGTCAAAGAATGTCACCACAGTTGCATTTAACTTCAGAAAGGGGAATGACAAGAACATTAGGAAACTAATTGAATGGAAATTAAAAGAGACAGACACAAGTGAAATGCCTGCAAAGTGCATTGAAACTTTTTAAAAAACCCATTAACAGAGGCTCAAATTAAATGCGTACCTCAAATTGAAAAAACATAGCAAGATGACAGAAAAAAAGTGCCACTGTGATTAAACAGCAACATAAAAGAATTGGTTAGAGGCAAAAAGGCATCCTTTAAAAACTGGAAGTTAAATCCTCCTAAGGAAAATAGAAGAGTATAAACGCTGGCAAGTCAGATATAATTAGGTGGGCCAAAAATGAATTGGTAGAACAATTAGCCAGATTCAAAAATCTGACAACCAAAAAAAAAAAAAAAAGGTTGAAGCACATCAGAAGGTGGAAGCCTGCCAAACAATCAGGATACGTCTACACGGCATGGCTGTTTCGGGATACCAAAGGTATCCCAAAATAGCTACCCTGAGTCTACACAAGCCGCCTGTTCTTTTGAAATATTTTTCAAAATAATGGGCATGCTATTTCACCATTCCAATAAACCTCGTTGAACAAGGAATAAGGGATGGCTCGAAATAGCAAGTTATTTCAAAATTTGGCACCGTGTCGACGTGCCAAATTTCAAAATAAGCTATTTCGAAATGGTTTCAAAATAAGATATGCAACTGGATGATTGAAGTTCTAAAGGAGCACTCAGAGAAGACAAAGGTATTACAGACAAGCTATATGACCGTTTTGCATTGGTCTTCATTCCAGAGGACATGAGGGAAGTTCCCATACCTATTTAGGTGACAAACAGTCTCAGCAGTTTTTGGAATGTATTGATAAAAGAAACAGTAATAAGTCACCAGAACCAGCCGGCATTCACCTAAGAGTTCTGAAGGAACTCAGGTATGAAATTGCATCACAATTAAGCGTGGTGTGTGACCTATCACCTAAATGTGACACTAATTTTTTTTAAAAGGCAGAGGTAATCTGGACAATTCCAGGCCAGTAAATCTAACTTCAGTAGCAGGCAAACTGATGGAAATGATAGTAAAGGACAGAATTATCTGACACCTAAATGAACATAATTCGTTGAGGAAGAGGTAGTAACATGGTTTTTGTAAAGGGCAATCATGCCTCTCCAATCTATTAGAATTATTTGAGGTCAGGCAATATATGAGCAAAAGTGATGTCATGGAGATAGTAATTTGATCATTCAGAAAGCCCTTGAAAAGGTCTCTCATCAAAGTCTCTTAAGCAAAGTAAGGAGTCATGGTATTAGAGAGAAGGTCCTCTCATGGATCAATAACTAGTTAAAATATAGGAAACAAACAGTAGGAATTAATGGTCAGTTTTAAGAACAGAGAAAGGCTAACGGTGTCTGCCAGGGATATGTCCTGGGACCAGTGTGGTTCAACATATTCCTAAATTATCTAGAAAAAGAGGTAATAGAGGTGGCAAACTGCGTAAGCAATATAAAATTCAAAGCAGACTGTGAAGCACTACCAAGTAGGTGGCATGATTGGGCATCAAAATGGCAGATGATATTCAATGTTTGATGCAAAATAATGAATATTGGAAAACATAAGCAAAACTATATATACAAAGTATAGGATCTAGATTTGCTGTTACCATTCAAGAAAGAGATCTTAGAGTCATTGTAGATATTTATCAGAATCTGGTCAATGTGCAGCAGCAGCCAACGAAAGCTAACAGAATGTTAGGAACTATTAATAAAGGGATAGATAAGACAGAAAATAGCATAATGTCACGGTATAAATTCATGGTGCACCCACCCCCTTGAACACTGCATGCAAGGCTGGTCATGCCTCCCATATAAAAAAGACACATTAGAATTTGAAAAGGTACAGAGAAGGCCAAAAATGAACAAGGGTCTGGAACAGCTGCTGCATGAGACAAGATTCAAAAGACTGGGACTTCCATTTTGGAAAAGAGATGACTAAGAGTGAATGTGATAAAGGTCAATAAAATCATTACTGGTGTGGAGAAAGTGAGTAAGGCAGTCTTTACTCCTTCACGAGCCACACGAATGAGGGTGTGTCTTCACTGCACCATTATTTTGGGATAACTAGTGTTATTTCAAAATAACAATGCGAGCGTCTACACAGCCATTCCGTTATTTTCAAATAATTTTGAAATAATGGACGACTTATTCCTAAATCTGTAAAGCTCATTCTATGAGGAATAACGCCTATTCTGAAATCTCTATTTCGAAATAAGGCGTGGGTAGATGCTCCACTGCTGCTATTTCGAAATAGCCCCTTACCAGGGCCATTCTAAGTTACTCTACCCTCCTGCCTCCTGGGGCTCTAAATTGAGATAGCCTGCCTCAGATTCATTTTGAGGCTTCCCTCCAGTGTAGACGTGCTATTTTGAAATAAGCTACTTCAGAATAACTATTCCGGAATAGCTAATTTCGAAATTGCTGGGCAGTGTAGACGTACCCTGAGGGATTGCCCAATGACACTGATCAGCAGCAGGGTGAAAACAAAGAAAATGAAGTTCTTTTAGACAAAAAGGCAAATTTTCCCTGTGGCGCTTTTTGCCAGGGGATGCTGTGAAGGCCAAAACTATAATGGAGGTTCAAAAAAGAACGAGATGTTCATAAAGGATGGGTCTGTCAAGATAACCAGGGATGCAACCTTATGCGCTGGAGGTCCTTAGATTCTCATTGCCAGAGGCTGGGAATGGGTGACGGGATGGATCGCTGGAGGGGATGTTCAGTCCCTAAGAAGCACCTGGTGTTGGCGACTGTCAGAAAACAGGACCCCAGGCAAGACAGCCCATTGGCCTGACTGGCTTTATGTTTTCATATTGTCACAAAAGGTGGGGAAAAGGAAGTGGGTTGTTGGCATCACTCAGGGACTCATTTGGGTTTTGTCTTTTCCCTCTAGCAAGACCTCGTATTGATAACAAACCCCCACGGGCGCAAACTCACCATCACTTTAAAATGACCAAGATCCAGGTACTCTTCTTTCCAAGTGTGCGATGTTCCTGCCTGCACTAATTCACGGATAAGACCAGGCAGTGTGTCAGATAAGTAAAGGGAGGGGAGTGTTCTTGAGTTTTGGCCTGGCACAGCAGGGGTCCACGCCTAGCAAAGCGGGTGGGGAGAGGATGCAGAAACCCAGGAAATTGATTGAAGATGCTCCTGGTGCACGCGTGTGTGCACGTGTGTGTGTGCATGTGTATATGTGTGGGCACATGTGTATGTGTGTATGCGCTCGCGTGTGCGTGCACGTGTGTGCGCGTGTGTGTGTGCATGTGTATATGTGTGGGCACATGTGTATGTGTGTATGCGCTTGTGTGTGTGTGCACGTGTGCACGCGCATGTGTGTATGTGTGCGTGTGCATGTACATGTGTGGGTGCGTGCATGTGTATGTGTGTGTGTCTGTGTGTGCGCGCGCGCTGAAGCATAACAGGGAGGTCAGTAGTGATAGACAAGCAGTGTGAATGGTCATTATGGACATGCTGGATGTGTGGGCATGGGGGGTTGGCAGGCACTGGCTTGTGGGAGTGGAGGATGATGGGAGGCTAACCTGGTACCAGTGCCTCTGGAGGAAGGCTTTGAAGTTGGCCCGTGATGTTACAACTTGGGGTCTCTTCTCCAGGAGGACCAGAAGAGAACTGGCAAAATCGAAAGAGAAAACAAGCAGCTGGCCGGGAGGCTAGCGGCCATTCAGCGTGGGACAGGGCTGGTGGACTGCTGGAATGAATACTTCCAAAGGAGGTAGCTAAGTGTCCTTCGGATTCCAGGAGCAGCCCAACGCCTCTCTCAGGCACGGCGAGACAACCCAGCGGCGCAGAACTCGCACTCCACCAGGGGCGGCGCTGCCTCCGGTCTTGTCCTTTCACTTTCCCTCTTTTGTTCTGCCTGGTGCATTTGGGGTCACGGCACCGTCTCAGGCCAGAGGACGCCCTCGGGCTTAAGATGGGCCATTTGGGGCAAAAGCCGCTGGGAGTTGCACCAATAAGGCAGCCCTGCACCACCTCCCCCCGCCATGGAAATCACTGCTGCAAGTTTCCCGGCAGGGACTGGGACAAGGCAGTAGCTGATCTCTGCTCCAAGCCATGGACCTGACCTGCATCCTCACCCGCCTTGATCCGTCCGTGGTCTCTGTCTCTCTCACACCCAGGCGTACACACAGCTCCGACACGGCCAGGGTGCAGGGCTGACAGGAGTCAGGATGTCCCAGTCCATCATCCATTGACCTGGGAACAGCCACCAGGGTGTGACACTCAGCAGGGACAGAGGCCTCCAGGCCTGCGATCTCGCAGGGTGTGGGGAGGGGAAACGGGTCCTGACTTGTTCCCTGATTCTGTTTGAACCAAGCAGAGGGACAGGAAGCTGTCCATGCACCTGAGTTTCCAGGGCTTAGCACTGACTCTGACCCCCTGACCCTCAGTCTGCCCTTTGGCACGGTTTCACCCTCACCTCAACCTGGCCTGTTGCAGGGTTTCTCAATCCTGGTCTAACCACTAGGCATGACCACCCGCAGACTGGGCATAACAGTTAAGCAGCCCACTCTCCCTCAAGCATCTCTCAGCCTTTTTCCATGCTGCTCCCCCCTTCTCCACCGCTCCATCCCCCCAAACTGGTGTATCAATATACCACCACGCATGGCACGTTCATGCCCTGCCTTATAATCCATTCCTACTAGGACACCCATGTGAACAGAGCCAATTGAGATAGGGATCTTCTCACTGAGTCTTTAAAGCCACAGAGTCTGCTCATGTGGCGCTAATGCCTTTGCTAGCGGCCACGTAACTGTATCATGGACTTCCCAGCCACACTCTTCTGTTGCTTCTTTCTCGTCGCACGTGTGATATAGTGTAAGCTGGGCAGGGATCTGCGAATCAACGGGAGACCCCTGCCATAGCTTGAGGCATGGCAAAATAACCAATAATAATAACGCTATAGATCAGACTGGACCAGGGCGGTGGGTGAACCTAGGACTGGGGGAGACAACCTCTCAGCCCCGCCTCTTCCACCTGAGGCCACTCCCCCTTCAGGAGCCAAGCCCACTCCACCACCACCAGGGCAGGGCTCCAGCTCCTCCTCCCCCACAAGCCACACCCCCACTGCAGGGGCAGGGCTCCAGCCTCCCTCCCTCCACCCCGAGCCTACCCCGGAGCACAGGAAGGGCGGGTGGGGAGGGGCCCCAACCACAGTATGGCTGAAGCCCAGGGGCAGCCCAGAAGCCACACTGAAGCAAGGGGCGGAGTGCGGGCGGGGCCAGGCTTGGCAGTTTGAGAAGGCAACGCCTTCGCCTGCCTCTTATACCCGCTGCCCATGAGACTGGATGGTAGAGGGGACACTTATGCCAATCAATATGATTTCATAAGCTAGGTTTCAGGTTAAGCGATTAAGCCTTTATTAGCAAGCTGGAGCCTGCTGGAGCCAATCATCAGTCATGCCTCTTAGCAGAGGACAGAAAAAACGATTGTGGCTGAGTATATACCACCCGCTGCCACGGTTACCTGCTGCATTAGTGGGCTGCAAGATGTCGAGGCTGTTTTCCACCCTGGCTTTTCAAGTGCAGAAGGTGGGAGCCTCCCAAGAGACTTTAAAATATCCTGCCACTAAAGGCTTCTGTTTAAAAACTCCCTGAGGTCCCTGATTCCTTGGCCTTGGCTTGGTATCCCTGCCACCGCCCAAATGTAAAAAAAAAACCCTTTGAAAATTTAGGAAGGTGCATTTGGGAATTTCTTCCTGTGGTTCCTCAAGCTTGAGCTTCCCCAAGCTCTTTAGCCCTTCCACTGGCGAGAGCTTAAAACCCCCCCTCCCCGTAATCTTCTTAATTGCTGGCCTTGTAGTCTTAGGCACATGCACATAGAACCTCCTGCCTTCTAGGATACTGGAATTGGATCATGGTCTTAAAAAGGCGATTTTTATTAACAAAGAAAACATACTTGATTGCTAGGTGTTACAGAGTAGCTGAAAAAAGAAAGATTAAAGCACCGAGATGGCTTTGCTGGGATTCGGTTTAAAAGTTATAGGCTACGTCTAAACTACAAAGATTTTTCGAAACAGGATACGCAAATTCCGCGGGAATTTGCATATCTTCTTCCAATCGCATTTTCAAAAGAGGATCTTTCGAAAGTGAAAGTAGTCTGGACGCGTTTTTTTTCCCCAAAAATGGTTTTTTTCCCCAAAAAAACCCACGCCCAGACTACTTTCACTTTCAAAAGATCCTCTTTCAAAAGTGTGGTCGGAAGAAGATCTGCAAATTCCCATGGAATTTGCATCTCCTCTTTCAAAATAAAAACTTAGTCTAGTTGCCCTAGTGCATGGGGAGGGGGGGACACCATGGACTCAACGCACAGAGGTCCAACATACCCAAAAATAAGGAATATAACCTGACTGCGTCTCACTAAACATTCCCTGTTCTACTCACTTATCTGTTGTTCCAAGATTTAGCCTTTCCCAAGACATGGATGTTGCTGAATCCTTCATGCTGAATTAAGCTCCCTGGCTTACTTCATGGCTTCTAGCTCCACTCTAGCATAGGAAGGTCGCTGCTTCCAATTCAAAAACCCACACTCGGTTTCGTTGACGCTCCTGGCTTCCTGCCAACACTTCCTGCTTCCCTAGCATTCCTAAAGACTTTCTAGGATTCAACCCTTGTGGGCAATGTAGTTAATTGAATGTCTGAAACGTTCAGAAAAGAGTAGTACCCTTCCCATGCATCACACAAGATGATTCTGAGAATTCTTGGCTTTACAAATAAGGTTTTGATTCACTTTGTTTTTTGGCAGCTCTAATAGGGAGAAGCACAACAGGGAGATGGTGAGGATCACAGTTGAAAACCAGGGGATTTTGAAGCGACTTGGCGACCGTAAATCGATGTATGACCATAGGAAGTCAGAGCTTGATTGGAAGGCACGTAGAATTGTTTTATTTTTTGAAACATGGTTTCCAGCTGCAGTTACACTAAACCAGGTGCAGGAGAAGAATGAAGTGCTCTTAATGTTTTCCAAACCAAAACGTGCACCATCAGCTGTTGGAGCGTGTCGCTGGATCTCATCGTTCTGTGCATGTCCATCCTTTAGGAAAGCAAACTGAAACAGTCTGACATTGGCTATAGGTGTAGCTAGGTATAAGGAAGCCCAATATCATTGCACAGATATATGGAGGGGAGCACGTTAAATCAAATGCTACACAGTTAATCATTTATTGGCCTTGGTAGAATTGCTCCCTAAAGCTACCCATGAAGGCAATCAGAAAGACACGGATATTGGCAAAGGGGAGAATTCAGTGGAATTAGATTAATTCCTTGTCAAGTATTTATTGAAAAACATCTTGTTCATCAGGCAGAAGAACTGGTGTCTCAACTTCTACACTGTTATTTTCGGAAGAGGAAATGCAAATGAAACATTAATATGCAAATATTGCGCTCTCATTTGCATATTCTTTTCCGATCCTTTTTGCGAAAAAACCCCCACAGTGTAGACAGGGTCATTTGTCAGAAAAACCCTGTTTTGCACAAGATCCTGTAAACCTCATTTTTTTTGGTTTATAAATGGCCCTGTCTACACTGCGATGTTTTTTCACGAAAACCTCTTCCGCAAAAAGGATCGGAAAAGAATATGCAAATGAGAGCATGAGATTTGCAAATGAGTGCTTCTTTTGCATTTCCTCTTCCAAAAATAACAGACAGTATAGACGTAGCCTCAGAGTAATAAGGGTTCTCACACTGGGGTGGGCGCTTCATTGACCTTTTATTCTGACATTCTTAATTACTATGACCTTTTCCTACAAAGAAAAGAAAACTACACCTGTGACACTGTGTTATAATTTAAACACGAGCATCATTCTCTAGTCACGTGTCCGATTTTAGATGTAAACATTCGTTTGTGACTGAACAAGAGTTTATGGTCTGGCTTTTTCACGGGCTACAAGCAGATCACAAGTAGGTGAATTTGAGTCTTAATTTCTGGCTACAGTCCCTAATTTGATGACCAGTGTTACCCAGGGTTCTTTCAACCCAAACCCCTTGGTAACTTTTACTCTCTGCGAGGTGGTGTCAGGAAATAATTCAGGGGAGACACGGTCGTCCGACCGATAGATGGATGGTACGAACAGGACAACACAAGAGTGCTTTAACTTAAAGCTAAACTTTACTTAGTCTCAAGCATTTACACACGTCCGCAACAGTTTAGTAAAACACCCCCACCCTCGGTAGTTACCAAAGTTGAGTGTGGCTCTCGAGTGGCACTGGGCAGGCTTCTAATGGCCAGTCTTCCGTCTGCCGGTGGGGATGGAGATGCGTCCAGATGTGAAGAGTCCTCAAGGAGTACTTGAGGTGTCCCTCCAAGTGTTTCCCCAAAATAATCCCCCTAACTCAAACTTTCCTTCCTTATTTATCCATTAGTATTACAATAACATGTCACTCAAAAACTAGTTAGGCAAGCACTTTTTAAAGGTTAGGCAAGAGGTTTTCTTCTCATCATCACTTTCGCCAGATGCGTTTTTTCTTTTTCAGAGACTCCATGCCGGGAGGCCCTGATAGATATATGTCTTAGGCAGGGGTGGCTTGAGGTGGGCTGCAGCAGCTGGCGCCCCAGGCAGAACGCTTGATCGGCACCCCTGCCTGCACGGCCATCAATGGCGTGATGTCATCATTGGGCGCCCCAGGTGCCCCGTTGAAGACGGTGCCCTAGGCGACGGGCGAGTTGGCCTATACTCACAGGCCGCCCCTGGTCTTAGGGCATTTAGACAAACTTCCTGTTTTTCTTAATGTATAGCTCAGTGATTTCACTAGAGATTTGGGCCTCAAGCCAGGGTCAAGCTGCCCTCTCTGTGGCACCCAAACTCCCCCTTCCCTCCTTGACTGTGGTCATGCAGAAGTCGCAGTCTAGGTCGAATTTGGGCCCGTTAGCTTGGTTGCTAAAATTTAAACAGTAAGCAATAGTGGTTCAGGCACATTACTGGATTTGCCGAAATCTCCCCATACAGTCAGCACCAGCTGATTTCACAGGGACCCTTTGTGACGTCTACACTAGAAACAGCGAGTTGCATTTCTCTAATTTTCTGGTTACCCTCGGGCTAGGAGAGGCTCAGGCCATGTTCACACCTGCAGACTGTAAATTACTGAATTTTTCCCCCAGCGGACCCATTTATTTCATTCAGTTTGCAGTGGTATGGAGATAATGAAAAGAAAGTTACAAAAACCAGGTGTGTGTATCTATGCTAGTCCTCTCCTACTAGCTTACCTGTTTTGCAATAATTTCCTCCAAGGAGTCCATCTGCCTCCTGGACTTGGAACTGAGTTGTTCCATTTTTTCATTCAAACAACTGCAGGTTGGACCTGCCTGGTCCGGCACCCTCAGGATCTGATTGTTCCTAGATGAGGGATTTTGCCAGACCAGGGGAGGTCACTTCTGGCTCCCCTGCTGCCAGTCCCATCCCCTGCCTTTCCCCACACCTATAGGCTTCCTGGCTCCCCTCCGCAGCCCAGCTGAGCTGCATGCTGGCTCCCGGGTCCCACAGCCCAGCTCTCAGGACTGAGAGCCTAGGCACAGAGATGACCAGGGAGGCTCTGCTTGCTGTCCCCACCACAAGCCCCACAGCTGCAGCTCCCATTGGCTGGGAACTGCAGCCAATAGGAGCTGCAGGGGTGGCACCTGCAGGCGGTGACAACAGGGGGAGATGTTGCCACTTTCAGGAAGCTGCCCAAGGGAAGCCTGGAGCTTGCATCTGCTTTCGATCCAAACTCCCTCTCACAACCCACAGCCCCTCCTGCAACCCAACCCCTCCTGCAATCCACTCACTGCTAATCACACGGAAACCATGTGAGATCTGAGCAGATCCGCCAGGGACGGGATTAAGTCTGTTACTGACTCGCCCCTGCACTGAAAACACGTGAAGTACTGAAGGACCAGGATGCATAAGTGAAACGGGTGGGGGGAAGTGCATGAAGACCATATGGTGTCCTTGTTCTCATTACAACTCAAATAGTCACTGTCATGGATAATCGAAATCTATACGCTTCCCTTCTCGTTGGCAGAATTCACGGCACTACATCCGGAATACTACCCGGTACCTCATTGCTTCTCGGGACAGCTAGGTACGCAGTTCTGCCTTAGCCTGGCTGGTTTTCAAAAACTGCCTGTGTTGTTAGTGACTTGAGGGGGGCTGGTTTGTGTATGCATCTTATCCGGCCTGGACTGTAATTAGTGCAGGGGTGGGCAATTATTTTTGCAGGGGAATCCACGGGCTCCACCCCCGAAATGGGTGGAGCTAGGGTTGCCAGATGGTTTACCCAAAAATACCGAACACTGGATCGGGGTGCAGTGGGGCAAGGAAAACCCCCACTCTGGGTGACCCCACCCACTGCAACAAAAAAAAAACCCCACCGGGGAAAAAATTCTGTGGAGGGAAAAAAAAGGGGAAGACCAAAATTGTTGAGAAAAAAAGTGATTAAGCAAAAAACAAAACCAAAGAACATTAAAACAGCTTTAAGTGCCTGCAGTCAGAATAGGGATAGCAGGATGGGAGAAGTTGCGCACTAAGACCCAGGGAAGCCGTCAGGTCTTTAGGCTTTTTGCCGGCAGCCATTTTGTTTTCTTCATGGAGCCAGAATGCAGCTTCCCTGCAAAACCAGGTAAGCGGGAAGGGGAGGTGGAAGGTGCCGGGGGCTGGGCCCAGTTGCTGAGTGTGTAGGGATGCCGGGTGTCCGGTATTTTTGCCTCCTGGCTGGGGAAAAAAATCAGAAAATACCGGACATTTTAGGTGTCCAGTATTTTCTAAAATTTTTTTTTTTTACTGGACAGGAAGCAAAAATACCGAATTGTCCGGGTCAATACCGGACACCTGGCAATCCTAGGCGGGGCTGGGGCCTAACCTTCTCCCAGAGTTCTCTGGGGCCAGAGGCTTTGAAGCAAAGGGCTCACGAATCCTGGCCCAGCTACTACCACATTGCCTGGCAACCACCTGGGGTTGCTGCAGCTATTTAAAGGGCTCACAGCTGGGGTAGTGCTGCAACTTGGAGCCCTTTAAATAGCTGCAGCAAACCGGGGTGGCTCCCAGGCAATGCGATAGCACTGAGGCCGGGAGTTTGAACCCTTTAAATAGCAGCAATTTAAAAGGCTCACAGCTCCATCTAGGGTTGCCAGATGTTTCAGAAAAAAATACAAAGACCCAGAGAGTTGTTAAGCAGAACCCAGTAAGCACCAGGGTTGCCAGGCTGCTTCCGTATTGAGCCAGACAGCCCGGGAAAAAATCAGTAAGCACCAGACATTTTAGGTGTCCGGTATTTTCTGAATTTTTTTAACCACACAGGAGGTGAAAATACCGAACTATCCAGTTCAATACCGGGGACCTGGCAACCCTAGCTCCATCCCCTGCTTGGGTAGCGCCATGACCAAGAGTTGGGAGCTATTTAAATAGGATCCTGCTGCCTGAGCCACGGCCTGGAAATTTGGTGGCTGGGGCAGCAGGATATAAACAGAAAGTGGCCAGATGCCACAGATCCATGGGCTGGATCAAAGTGTTAGGTGGGCCCCATCTTGCCCAGCCCTGAGTTAGTGCACGTACACCATACCTAGGAAAAACTAGTAACCGAAGGCCTGCCAGGTGCCTGCCCACCCATGAAATGCAGGCACTGGCGGTATGCATTTAAACGCAGCAGCCACTGAAATACCGTGTGGCGGGAGGAAGGGTATGTGATTGAGGATCTTTCCCTCTCCCAACTTACCCTGCTGCTCAGACAGGGCCTTCCAAAACAGCCCTGAAACTGCCTGCTCCCCCAGCTGGCAGTATGCAGAACAAATTCCATCTTCTTCCCATGCTCCTGCTGCAGCTAGCAGAGCCTGTTACTCAGCAAGTGCCTTCCGCTGGTGCCAGTCCAAGCGCTTCCCAGCTCCTCTGGGCACCCTGCCAATCATTATTCCCCCGAAGTGCTTGAACTCTAAACCGCAAATGAAACTTTAAGTCGCTGCAGTGTTGGTTTATATGGGGCAGAACGTGGCCTTTACATGATCATCGACAGCCTGGGGCGGGTGAGGAAATAAGGGGGCTTTGGCAAGACGAGGCAGGGAAGGCAGAAGTTATTTTCATGTCAGAGCCCCTCGAAATGCAAAAAGGAGGAACCGGGTGTTTGCCCAAGGACACACTGGGCACAAAAGTGTAGAGGGCTCTGCTAAAAGCCCTGTAACAAGTGGGAGATTAAAAGAGTAAAGAAATGATCTGTGAATGTCCCTGGATGCCCAGTCTGTAGACTCCACGTTTGGGTCCTGATCCAGCAAAACATTTGAGCCCGTGTTTAGATTTTGCTGAAGTTAATGTGGCCACGTGATTTGCTGAATTGGACCTTCGGGCAAAACTCATGGGCTTCATCTCCACTGCAAATTCTTCCAGCAGAAAATATGCTAATGAGGGATTCATTAGCATAAGTTGTGATCTCATTAGTATATTTTCTGCCGTTTCTTTTTGCGCAAGGGGTTTTTGTGCAAAAAGAAGCAGTGTGAACGGGGTTTTTTTCCCACAAAAAAACCCATTTTGCGCAAGGTCATTATGCCTGTCCCAGAGAGGCATAATCTCCCTCTCTTTCTTTAATTGTAGGAGAACACACCATGCATGGAGAATACAGTAGAGACTAGCACATCTTGCAAGTCCGATGGCCTGTTAAGGATACATGTTGCAACTGACTGAGGTGTTCTTAGGATTGTAAAATAAAATGCAACAGTGAACAAATGCAGCTTTTCTTATAAAAGTGCAACCCCCCATCCCTCCAAACCGCAAAATCTTCACCACAAGCAAGTCTACTTTCGCCATCATTTATTTTGAACTTACAAACAAAACTGCACCTGAAAAACTCACGTCACAGTTTCCCTGAACTTAATAAAAAGAGGGTTGTGTCTAACTCCAGGTTTGTTGCCTGCACAGGAAAGAAATGGAGGCAAAGTTTATTTATTACATGAACCAGACTGTACAGGACACAGAGCTCAGTGCTTGAAACCAATGTAGACCGGGAGGCGTTTTCAATTATTGTAATTTGAAATATTTTACAAAATCGGCACAGTTCCATTCGTCTGGGTTCTTTTAACAGCTGTTTCCTCTGTTGGGTTCTACTCGGATCTGGGGGCGGGGTGAAGAGGGGTGCTAGCTAGACGGAGTCAGTCCTAAACTCCCATTGCAAACTCTGGGATGCAGGGGGCAAGGCAGAGGGGGGAAAAACTCACAGACAAAGCTGCTGGACACACGGAACTCCCAGTTCTGGAATGGAGCAGTCACTGTTTCTACCTGGCAACCCACCTGTGGCTTTCAGAGAGGGATCCCATCTGGCATCCAGAGCTACTTGGTGGCAGACCACCAGCCTGAGAAATTATCTTCCTCAAAGAGGGTAGAAGGCAGAGTCTTCCTCAACACCTAGAATCAGGACTTCCCTGGAAACTTTTGCCAGTATAATGTCAGTTAGAACGGTCACGTTTTGCAACAGGTCCGTATTGCCGAGAACCTAGTGCAAATGCAATTCTACTCGGATCTGGGGGCGGGGTGAAGAGGGGTGCTGGCTAGACGGAGTCAGTCCTAAACTCCCATTGCAATGTGGCCACAAGGCAAGCCCTCACCTTGTCCAATGATGGTCATAAAGCACATGCTCCCTGCTCGGTCAGAATGAAGCAGGGTGCAAAACTCTGGAACAGCTGATCTGAGGCAAACATCGTGGAGCGGTTAAAAACCTGAACGTTCTGACTGATGAAACTGGAATGTGTCGCGTATCCCAATGATTTCATTAAAAAAAAAAAACGGGGATGCAGGGTCTCTCTGGATGTATTGGAGAGAATCTAGCAGAGGGCAAGAAAAATGACGAGGGGGCTGGACCACTTGACTTAGGGGGAGAGGCTGAGGGATTTGGCCTTATTTAGTCTACAGAAGAGAAGAGTGAGGGAGGGATTTGATAGCAGCCTTTGGAACCCCCCCATCAGGTAGTTAAAGATGATGGAGAGAGGCTGTTCTCATTAGAGACAGATGGTAGAACAAGGAGCAGTGGTCTGAAATTGCAGTGCGGGAGCTCTAGGTTGGATCCTAGGTAAAACTATTTCCTTAGAGGGGGAAGCACTGGGATGGGTTCCCTAGGGAGGGGGTGGAATCTCCATCCCTAGAGGTTTTTAACTCACAGCTTGACAGAGCCCTGGCTGGGATGATTGAGTTGGGGTTGGTCCTGCTTTGGACAGGGGGTTGGACTCAATGACCTCATGAGGTCTCTTCCAACCCTAGGATTCTATGATTTACATAGTGGCAACCTCACAGGAAGAGAGCATGGCCCAATATTTGACCCTGCGTGAATAATTTGATCGAAAACTGTTTTGAAGTTCGACAAGAGAAACATTTTCCTTATTGCTTTTTTTGGGGGGAGGGGAGAATAAAAGAGGATGGCTCATTGTGTGGGCTGTGCTGATCCAGCCCTGAGTACACAATGAGCTTTCCTGAAAGGAATGAGATGACTCCTGTATAAAAGGACTCAGGATGGGGAAAGAGCAGGGAGCAAGACAATTCTTGCAGAGCCTTGAGTGCAGAACTAACAAAAGGAAGTTTTTCTTCACGCAGCACACAGCCAACCTGTGGAACTCCTTGTCAGAGGAGGCTGTGAAGTCTAAGACTTTAACTGGGTTCATAAAAGAGCTAGATAAATTCACGGAGGTTGGGTCCATTGATGGCTATTAGCCAGGATGAGTAGGAATGGTGTCCCTAGCCTCTGTTAGTCTGGAAATGGATGACAGGAGGGGATCATGTGATGATTACCTTTTGTATTCACTCCCTCTGGGGCATCTGGCACTAGCCACTGTCGGCAGATAGAACTTTGGTCTGATCCAGTACGGCCGTTCTTATGCTCTCTAGGCAGGTAGAGACCCTGGGGAAGAAACTGGTGGAAGAAGAGAACCAGAGAGGGTGGAAAGTTTGAGTCTGTTAAAAACAGTTTTGAAGCTCAGTCTGGACACCTATGACCCCAGGAGGTGACTAAAGGTCTACACTAAAAAAGGGAAGCTTGAATGAAGAAGAGAAGAGTGAGGGGGGATTTGAGAGCAGCTTTCAACTTCTCGAAGGGAGGTTCCAAAGAGGCTGGAGAAAGGCTGTTCATAGTAGTGACAGATGGCAGAACAAGAAGCAATGGTCTCAAGCTGCGGTGGGAGAGGTCCCATTTTGAGTTTCCCCACCATCCCCACAGTAGGAGGCCGATAGGAGCAAATGCTCAAGCACGAGTATTGGTCACCGATGGAAGCGTCATCTGAGCTCGATTTAGAGAGTCTTAACTAGACTTGCTAAATCGAACTCTGGAAGATCCATCATGATCTTCCATTTAGTGAAGATAAATTCATGGAGATTAGGTACATCAATGGCTACTAGCCTGGATGGGTAGGAATGTTGCCCCCAGCCTCAGTTGTCAGACTGGAAATGAATGACAGGAGAGGGATCACTTGATGAGTCCCTGTTTTGTTCATACCCTCTGGGGCATCTGGTATTGGCCACTGTCAGAAGACAGGACACTGGGCTAGATGGACCTTTGGTCTGACCCAGTATGGTCGTTCTTATGTTCTTACGATGTGGCCTAACTGATTGTAACTTAGCCAGACGGCTAAGTTACCTGACAGCAGGGCCAATCGGAGCGGGGGTAAAGAAGCTCTCAAATTTAGACCCTTATTAATTTTTTGGCATTTGATAAGTTTCACAATTTGTTTTTAGGCGCATCCCCATCAAATCAAAATGTGACCTACACTCTCAGCTTAAAGCTACAAATTAAAGCAAACAAGAGAGATGAAAAAGGCTAGAAAAGCATTTGTTAAATTAAAAAATATTCAACTTATTTATATGTCTCTTTTTTTGGTGCATAATGTACTATGTTTCAATAGCCAGTTTAGCAAATTATGAACGGTCATTGATTTCCAAAGTCCTAATACATCTGCATTTTCAGCCATACACTATAAAACTCTGTGTATCCAAATTTCCTGAAGTATTTGAAAAAAAGTCTTGCGGCCATGTAGATTTAATCTCCAAGGTCCAATTTGTCCGTTGTGCTGTCTGGGACCATTGGTCTGGGTTCAGAGGTTTGTGTCCCTATCTATTGGCAGAATGGAACCATAGCCACCAGGTGAAGTTTCACTCTCTATCACAAAGTATTTACAAAGCTTAAACATCAGAAAATTTTTTACTGAGCACTCACATTTTTCAATGGCTCTTTCTACTAAAACTTGTGACTCAGGAACCCCATGTCAGCTTCTGGCTGATGGATCTGTCTAGTTCAGGGGTGGCCAACCCATTACAGATGAAGAGCCAGAATAGTGGTGGATAGAGCACAAAGAGCCAAGGGAAAAAAGTTGTTGAGGAAAAAAACAACACAAACAAACAAACCAAACAGTTAAACAGTTTATCCCTTTTAAGAGCCCAGCAGGCATTGCCCTTTTAAGGCGGCCATTTCGAAGTCTGCACAGGATTCCGTTTCTGTCTCTTTCAGAGAGGGCGGGGGAGTGTTGGCTCTTTGCAGAACCCTTGCTTTCGCTTCGCCACGCTGCCCCTTTAAGACCCGCGAGGTGCGGGTGCCGGAGCTGCAATTTTTCTTTGAAGAGCCGCACGCAGCTCACGAACCATGGGTTGGTCTAGTTTAACTGATGGGACATTTTCATATGATTTTCTAGACAGGCTGGCAGTTTTCCCTCTTATAAATATTTACATTTACAGCACATGTTATACAGGCTTTCCAATGGCAGGCTATGACCTAACCCAATTGACTGGCACCCAAAATGAGTCCTCCTTCAGCTTCTCTAGCAGCGCTTTCAACTGATTACAGGCACTCGGCAGGTCTTCTTTCAGCAGCACAGCGTCAATTAAGTGACCGTACTGCTCTTCGATAAATGCTGCCGAATTAATAATGTCCTGCTGCTCTTCATCCTGTAGGCCAAAATGTGAGAAGATATTAAACTTGCAATCGAGTCATTCTATCCTTCTAACGCAGGGACAGGAAAATAACGGCCTGCAGGCCGGATCTGGTTAGTCCGCCTGTACCTCCGCAGGTACGGGTGACTGCAGCTCCTATTGGCTGCGGAACACCATTCCTGGCCAATGGGAGCTTTGGGAAGTGGTGTCCCAGAACCTATCACCTCCCACAGCTCCCATTGGCTGGGAATAGTGATCTGCGGCCAATGGGAGATGCAATCGCCCGTGCCTGCAGAGGCACAGGTAAATACAGTGGCGGCGACCTGCCGGGGCTAACCCTGGTGAACTGCTGCTGTTTTATTGCCTGCCCCTGTTCTCATGACTTGTTTAGCCTCCTACCCAGCTTCTCACAACTTCTCTGAAAGGAAATGGAACCAAAAAACAAAAAAAGGGATTGCCAATGGGAAAGGATAAAATGACACCTTGCCATAGAGTTTAATGAGCTAGGAGCTTGTACTGAGAGTGATAGAAACTCTAGGCTGGAAGGGGGAGAGCAGGGGTTTGTAAAATGGAAATGTGGCACTGAAGGTACCAATTAACAAAAGTGCTGCCTAGCCCATCTCCAGTGCTATGCCTACTCCCTTCAAAAGTACCACAATGAGCGTGGAACAGGTGTGCCCAAGCACAACCACACCACGGGATCCCAGGCAGCATGCCTGGGAACGCTCTTGTACTATCGCGCTAAATGAACAATAGCGCATGGGTACTTCTAACGAGGTAACGCCAGCCGCCTTACGTTTCCTCCTCGACAACACTGCCTGTGGCGTACAGGCCTTCAATGGGTAACAACCTAATCCGCTGGGGTTTCCCTCTGCAGTGACAAGACCCAAGGGTCCTTTCTGGACTCACTCCTAGAGGCTGTTCACTGGAAGAATGTGCGCCACTAGTCATTTCCACTGGGGCAAACTTTAATATTTTGTAGTCCAGGTGGCACCTCCCAAAACCGGAATTCTCTGGGCCAGCAACATCCGTGGTCCAGCCTGATGTTCCTGGATTAGAAAACCTCAGTTGTCTAGTGACAGGTGGGCAATCCAGGAGGGGCTGGGCTGAAGCTGCGAGTAGGGTTGAAGCAGTGGGGCTGCAGCCGACAGCAGTCCCCAGCAGCCTGTGGCATTGGGACTAAGTTGGAGCAGCCCCCAGCAGCGCAGGACCGGGCCGGCAGCAACCCCAGCACCGTGGGGCCGGAACCTCAGCCCTCAGCAGCCTGCCCAGGACCAAAGCCAGCCCACAGCAGAGTGAGACCGGAGCTTGTGGCAGCGTGGTCTGCTGGAGCCTGGCAGGCAGCCCGACCGGGGCAGCAGTGGTAAGGCCAGCAGCCCAGCAGGGGCTGGAAGTAATGGGGACCCCCCACTCCAGAGCTGGCACAGTCGGCTCTGGGCCAGCCAATTCCCTAGTCCGGGAGGGTCAGGTCTCAAGGGTGCGGATGAGGGAGGTCCAACCAGTACTACAAAGAATAGATTCTTACTCCTCCTCCTGCATTCCTGAGAAGTTTAGATTTTAGGGGGCTGACTTTCCCTCTGAAGTTCTCATCTGCTCAAGGAGGGGCGGCGGGTGAGGGCAAACTGAAAATAAGCCTCCATTCCAATCCCCACCCCCAGGAGGCTTGGCCTAGAAAGAGCCAAATACAAAGGTTCTCAGTAGAGACCTGACCTCTGAACCAAAACAACCCATGAGGATTGAAAGAGATGTCCCCCTCCCCCAGGTACAGCTTCCAGAGACAACCTGTATGTTTTATGCCTCCCACATTATCCCAAACTTTTTTTCGAGAAAAAGTGAAAGAAACCTGAGATCTCCTCGAGTAACTTGCCTGCTCTGTGTGGATTATCTGCCTGCCCTTTCTCCACATCCTACACAAATTCAAGAAACATTTAACTTTTGCCTACAACCACAGCTCACACTCCATGAAACAGCTCTGTCGTCAGCAGCGTTTATTGTTATACTTATTTTGAGGAAAAGTAATGCAGCATGAAGACACTTGGAAAGTTAAAAGGAATTTTCCAAAGTTCAGGAAAATTAAGTCAATATATGGGATGAGGATATGGCCGCTGAAGAAATGGTAGCCACTTTCACCTCGCATGGGAGCTCTGAAAACTTGAGGTTCAGATTTTGGCTACGTCTAGACTGCTGCGCTTAGGTATCCCGGAAAAGCAATGCCGTGTCCAAGTAACGCGTCTGCTTTTTTGAAATTATTTTTGAAAAAGCGGACGCGCTCTTTTGCCATCCCTGTAAACCTCGTTCTACGAGGAAGAAGGGATGTGTCAAAAGAGCAGGTTCTTCCAAAATTTGTCGCCGTTTCGCAATTTGCGTCTCTTTTTCTGACTTACCTTTGTAGTCTAGACATAGCCTTTATAAGCTGTCACACAATCAGACTTTGATAGGATATCATTATTTTGCACAACATCTCAGGTATGTCATGTAGGAAGATGCTTTCCTGTCCATACTGACCCATCAGCAAGGAGACATAACAGAGGAAGGCAAAGAGTCGCTAGGTAATTAATGAGCCACTTAGAGCTTTCAGTCCCCTTTCCCATCATGGCTATGTCTACACTGGCATGATTTTCCGGAAATGCTTTTAACGGAAAAGTTTTCCGTTAAAAGCATTTTCGGAAAAATCGTGTCTAGATCGGCAGGACGCTTTTCCGCAAAAGCACTTTTTGCGGAAAAGCGTCAATGGCCAATCTAGACGCAGTTTTTCGCAAAAAATCCCTGATTGCCATTTTAGCAATCGGGGCTTTTTTGCGGAAAACAGTACTGTGCTGTTTACACTGGCCCTCTTGCTCAACTGATTTGCGCAAGAGGGCTTTTGCCCGAACGGGAGCAGCACAGTATTTCCGCAAGAACACTGATGATCTTACATGAGATCGTCAGTGTTCTTGCGGAAATTCAAGCAGCCAGTGTAGATAGCTGGCAAGTTTTTCCGCAAAATCACATGATTTTGCAGAAAAACTTGCCAGTCTAGACACAGCCCATAAGAATAGAGCCAGTAATATCTTCTCACTCAAAGGCTATGTCTAGACAGGTGCACTATTTCGGGACACCAGAAGTATCCTGAAATAGCTCTTTTTCATCTTTAAACGTGCCCGTTACTTTGAAATAGCTTTCGAAATAACAGGTGCGCTATTCCAGTGTCCCTGTAACCCTCGTTCCACAAGGTTAAGGGATGTTTTGGAATAGCACTTTATTTTGAAACTTGGCACTGTGTAGACAGTGCCACATTTTGAAATAAGCTACTTCGAAAGTACCTCAAAATAAGCTACGCACTTTGCGTAACACAAATTGCGCAGCTTATTTCGAGGTAAGGGTGCAGTGTAGACACACCCAAAAGGTATTTCTCTGAGGAAAAAATAATAATCCAAATACCGTTTCTTCAGTGTTCTAAGAGCTGACATTCAAATACTTACAAGCGGGACTGAGATTTCTTCTGAAGTTGGAGATGTTGGTGCATTTTTTTTCTTTTCTGGAACAAGAGGCTTCACAAAAATCACATAAGGTTTAAACTCGGGAGTTCTCAGGTGCTTCACTGCCTGCGAGTAGAAATATACAGGAGTTTATGTTCAAGGAACACTCTGACATGATTTATAAATTAATCCATCAAACTTTTAATGCTTCATTCAAGCTGCCAGTCATTTCAGCAGTATACGTTTCTCAACTGAAACCTGTAAAAGATTTCACCTGAGAATTGTATTATTAATTCTTTAAAAGGCAGATTAAGGTCAGTGTTATTTATAGTAGAATACACATCTAGCCCTCATACAGATCTTGCTGTGCATTACATTTACAGAAAGGGGAAGGTGATAGGCAGATTATACCCTTTTAATTATCTTCATTTCTTTCTCATAAAAAGAGGAGAAAACCCAAGAGATGGAACTCTACTTGTTTTGACATAAGAACAGCCATACTGGGTCAGACCAAAGGTCCATCTAGCCCAGTATCCTGTCTGTCGACAGTGGCCAATACCAGATGCCCCAGAGGAACACAACAAGGAATCATCATGTGATCCCCCTCTTGTCATCCATTTCCATACAGAGAGCTAGGGACACCATTCCTACCCAACCTAGCTAATACTCATTGTTTGACCTAATCTCCATGAATCTATCTAGCTCTTTTTTGAACCCTGTTAAAGTCCTGGTGTTCACCACATCCTCTGGCAAGGAGTTCCACAGGTTGAGTGTGCGCTGAGTGAAGAAAAACTTCCTTTTGTTTGCTTTAAACTGCTGCCTATTAATTTCATGTGGTGACCCCTAGTTCTTATATTGTGGGAATAAGCAAATAAAATAACAGGAGTATTTAAAGTTATTTCCTAACCCCAGACATATGACCCGGGTCATCCACTGACCCAGTGACTTCCTAAAACGACACTTTTCATGTTGACTGAGAATTCAACACCTATGTATGATAGGAAACGTTCCATATGGGCTTACAGAGGAAAAGAGGATGTGTGTGCGTTTTTCCTACTACAAGGGCAAGCTCCTTCATAAGAAGCAATAATGGTGTAAGATACTGGGGCTTTTAGGACACACTTTGATGTTTGTTCAGTGAGGCTCAGCAACTGTGTACAGTCCAGTTCTGCTGAGCCAGCACTCGGGCTGGGTTCCCAAAACAGGAAAGCATCGTTGCTTTGTGTAGTGCAGTTGGCCAGGACTGTAAATAGCATTATTCATCCTAGAAGAAATTAAAGATATTTACTTAGCTCACGAACAATCCAGCAGAGACATTTTCAGAACAGAAGAACGGCCAGATAGGGTCAGACCAAAGGTCCATCTAGCCCAATGTCCTGTCTGCCACCAGTGGCCAATGCCAGGTGCCCCAGAGGGAATGAACAGAACAGGGACTCATCAAGTGATCTCTCTCCTGTCGCCCATTCCCAAGCTCTGACAGACAGAGTACCTACTCGTCCTGGCTAATAAGTATCGATGGACCTAGCCTCCTTGAATTTAACCAGATCTTTTTTGAAACCTGTTCAAGTCCTGGTCTGCACAACCTCCTCTGGCAAGGAGTTCCACAGGCTGACTGTGTGCTGTGTGAAGAAATACTTCTTTTTTGTTTGTTTTAAACCTGCTACGGATCATTTCATTTGGTGACTCCTAGTTCTTATGTTATGGGAACAAGTAAATAACTTTTCCTTATTCACTTTCCCCATACCTGTCCAGATTGTATAGACCTCTATCATATCCCCCCTTACTCTCCTCTTTTTTACGCTGGGAAGTCCCAGTCCCAATTTTTCCATAAAGAGGACAACGTATGAGGAAAAGATACAGTTTTAGTCTTCATTTACACCTTTCACAGACCTCCATAGTATATTCATGCCAGGCTATTTTGAGTTTGCTTTTCTAGTAACGTTGATGGCTTATAAAATATTATACAGGGACATGTTGTAAAATTGAGGAGGCTAGTATGGAGCATAGGTCCACGGTCTAGTTCATGCCCCTTCTGAAGAGACACAGAACTACAAAAAAAAGTCTAGTGCAACCATCTGCTATCTCCGACCCCCGGTGTCAAGAATCCTCGTGGATTAATTAAATGAGAGAGAAATCTGAAGTGGCACCTGGCAGGAAGTTGGCATTTCTCTTGCACTGGGGAGATGAGAAGGTTTAATTGTAATAATGTCCTCATGACACAGCATGTTCAGCTGAAGACCCCAAAGCCCTTTATAAACATTAATGAGGTGCTGTCTCAGTTTCTCCATCTTTGAAATGAGGGTAATAAGATTCCTTCTCATAACACCCATGTCAGAGAGGCTGATTAAGAGAACTAATCATGTGCCTAAAGCAGCGGTTCTCAAAGTGAGGTCTGACCATCTTACAGGTGGGCTGTGAGCTTGGCGCTCCTGCCCCACCCCCCTGCTGCAGTAGGAAGCCTGCTCTGGTGCTCCAGCCTCACATTGCCCCCCTCTTCTCTGGTGAGCCCCGAGCCTTGGAGGCTGGAGTTCCCCTGGCCTGGGGAACAGCAGCGCAGGAAACTGTGTTTTGTTCCCATTGGCCAGAATTTATGGCCAATGGGAGCAGCAGGGGGCAGAGCCTGGGAGTGGCAGGGGACACGAAGCCAGGTAAGCACCCCCCATCCTCTCATGCAAAGACACCCCCCCCATTTCCCTCATGCACTCCCCTCCTGCCTCCCCTCCTGCCAAAACCACCCGGCCCCACCCCACTCCTGCACCCTCCCTCACAGCCCCCCCAACCCCAGCCCGCTCCTGTACCCTATCTCCCACCCTCAGTCTGCTCCTGCACCCTCCCTCCCAGCCAGACCCCACATCCTCACCTTCTCCTGCACCCATTTTATCATGGGTGATTGGCTGGTAGTCCACAGAAAGGTCTGTGTTAAGCAAGGTGGGCCCCAGGCCAAAATTTTGAAAACTGTCCGAAAGGCACACTGGAAGTTATTGCACAGCTGGGAATAGATCTTTAAAATCTTATTCCTGTGCTTTTGCTACTAAACAATAGGAGCTGAGAGAGCGGCCTGAGGGATGGGGGCAACGTAAGCCACTTCCCCCTCCTACAGTTTCAAGCAGCCTAGGGCTGCAGCAGGCAGGGAGCCCAGCCTGTCTTGGGCTGCTGCAGGGCTGCTGGCCAGGAGACACTTAGGTAAGTGCCTCCCAGCCAGAGCCTGCCCCTCCTGCACCCCAGCTCCCTCCCCCAGGTCACCATCCAAACCCTCTGCCACTCCCGCCCTCGGTCACAACTCTCTCCCAGACTCTGTACCCCCTCTTACACTCCTCCCCCAAGCCAGAATCCTCCCCTGCACCCAAACACCCTCCCAGATCCTGCACCCCATTTCCCTGCCCCATGTCACCACCCAAACCCCCTTTTTCCCTTTCTCCCAGGTCACAATTCCCACCCAAACTTTGCACCCCCTCCTAAAGCCCCTCACCCAGGCCAGAAACCTCTCCTGCACCCATACTCCTTCCCTGGCCCTGCACCCCAATCCCCTGACCCAGGTCACAACCCCCTTCTTCACAACTCATTCTCAGACCTCACTTACCCACTCCCTTACCCTGTGCACCCTTCTGCATCCAACCTCCATCCTAGACCCCGCATCTCCTCCACAGAAAAATGCGGCCCTTGACCACTTTCCAAACTCTTGGAGTGGCACCCCACCAAAAATTATTGTCCACCCCTGGTGTAAAACATCAGATGCCATCTCAACCATAAAGTCTTACAGTGTTTTCCTTAATCCTTATATGACTTGTAAATTAATCATGCAATGCAGAAAGCTGAAAAAATGCAGAGGAAATCAGTAGATCTCTAGTAAAGTTTTGACAGAAGAATGATACATTTTCACCAATAAAGCTTGGAGAAAAGTTTATTTGCACCCTCTAGTAGTTTTTTTTTTTACAATGTTCGTGTTTTGCTGTTTGAACACAGTGTATTTGACTTTTTATAGTGTTAAATTTGATTTGCAACTTACCATCAGAACAGATTATGCTGTTTTTTCTCTGTCCTACTCACAGCTAGATACAATTCCAACAGCAAAAGGCTCCACTTCTATTATTTCTCCCCTTCAGAACCAGGACCACGTTTAAGACTGGTTAAATACTGCAAAGCTGTGTCCCTGAGCATTCATTCACATTCTGAATGGCTAGTCTCTAACATTTTTCTTAGCATGAATGTTTAGGGAATGGCAGGGCTTCCTAGAGAAACCCAGAATATGCATGCACCCCTGTTGTTCTTGCTATGCATCCTTTAATTCAGGAGTGGGCAAATACCAAACTGTGGGCCAGATCTGGCACCCCAGGGTTAGCCCCCTGCGGGCTGCCGCCGCTATATTTACCTGCACCTCCGCAAGTACCAGCGATTGCAGCTTCTGTTGGCTGCAGATTGCCTTTCCCAGCCAATGGGAGCTTTGGGAAGTGGTGTCCCAGTCTGTTCCACTTCCTGTATTTCCTATTGACCAGCAATGGCGATCTGCAGCTAATAGGAGTTACAGTCGCCTTTAACTGTGGAGGCACAGGTAATAGCAACAGCAGCCCACCATGGGCAAACCCTGGTGTACCGCCGTCGTTTTATTGCCCACTACTGCTTTAATCACTCATGTCATTTGCCATGTCATGTTAGGCTTTTATTCTGTTTGTCATCCAATCAGCAAGCAGGAATAATACCGTTTGACTTTGGTGGCCAGCTAGACTACAAACAGCACTTGATCCAGCTATGTGAAGTGCAGCAGGTTTCAAAAGGAGCTGGGTAAGGCCCTTAACGAAAAGTCAAAGAGGAAAACGTGCAACATGTTTGAAAGGCCGAGTTTCTTCAACAGAAATGTTCAAATCTACTATATATTTGAAAGAGTTTGACTGTCTGTCTGTTCAAGGATTCCCCCTGAATGGTAAGAGTTAGGGCAGTGGGTCCCAAACTTTTTGGCATCACGCCCCCTTTTTGATTTTTGAGAAACCCTCACGCCCCCCACCCAATAGCAGCAAAACTTGTTGGGGGGGGGGGAGAGAGAAAGGACTGGCCGGGGCTGAAAAACAATTATAGCAGCAAAACTTAAGGAGGAGGATTGAAGGGGGGGGGGGCTGGGTTACCTTGCGCCCCCCTGGAATTTCTTTACACCCCCCAGTTTGGGAACCTATGAGTTAGGGCCACCCAATTCGGTAGGCAGCTTCCTCTTATCACAACTTAAAACAAGGGCTGGGTTTGGTGGTGCCAGGAAAATGGGACGTGCCTGGAATGGGATTGCTGCTCAGAAAACCAGACAGAAAAAAAAAGAGACAAAACCACCAAGCAGGGGAAAGGGGCTGATTGAGCTCTGTTCCATCCCTCAGCCACTCCCCCCCAGGCATCATTTAGGGATGGTGGAGGTTGGTACTGAAGCGCCCCCTCCTCCCTCCGATTCCTACGGGGACATTGCCGGCTGTTCCCCTTTGTTAGGGAGCGAGGGGAAAGTGCCGTTTGCT